GAACATTTATTTATTATCATCCATCAAAGTAAGAATAAGAAAAATTCGATTTTATTTTATATCTACACATTTTTCAGCATTTGAACTTTGGTTTAAACAAATTCTTTGGGAAATTGATTCACTTCGAGTGATATTTGGTAATAAACAAATTGATGAAAGTCATATGTTTGTTTCAATAAATCGTCTTCAACGTTGTGTTCAAATATGGCGTTTATTATGTGATCAAATAATTATATTAGAAACAATGACACCATTAGATTTCATGGAATTTCGTTCCTATTTATCACCAGCTAGTGGTTTTCAAAGTTTACAATTTCGGTTAATTGAAAATAAATTAGGTTTAACGGAAAAAACACGTGTTACTTATAGTCAAATATCGTATAAAAATGCGTTTCCAAGTTCACGACAACAAACAGAATTAACTGATTCATTGGAAGAACCAACATTACTTATGCTTATTGAAGTAAGAGATAATTTTTCGTTTACAAAAACATTATTTGAATATATTTTTTAGCGTTGGTTAGAACGAACACCAGGTCTTGACGATACAAGTTTTTGTTTTTGGGATCGATATAAACGAGCTGTGGCACAATATATCGAATATCTTCAATCAAATGCTCAAGTTTGAAACGAAACATTTTTTTAATTTCTATCAAAAATTTATTATTTTGCAGGATGAACCAAATCCAACAGCTCGTGAAGCAGCATTAGAAGATGTTAAAAAGACAGCTGATACATTTCGTTCATTAATTGATGAGAAATTTCATCAACAATTGGTAGCAAGATCTGAACGACGTATGAGTCATCGAGCTTTTCAAGGTGCTCTTATGATCATGCTTTATCGAGAACAACCACGTTTTCAAGTTTGTTATTGAAATAGTATTAATTAAAATCTATTATTAATTTTCTCTAGGGTCCTTATCAAGTTTTGTCATTACTTATGGATGTCGATGCATTGATTACGAAATGGCGATGTAAGTTTTAGACAAAAGATTATAAATTAGAGTACCTGAACATTTTTAGATAATCATTTAATACTTGTTCAACGACAAATTGGTAATAAACAAGGTACAGGTGGTTCAGCTGGTTATAGTTATTTACGATCAACTTGCAGGTTTGATTGAATATGATTTTTTGTTTTGAAATGTTTGTTTCTTTTTTATTCTATAGTGATCGATATAAAGTGTTTATCGATTTATTTAATCTTGCATCGTTTCTTATACCTCGTGAATTTTTACCAAAATTAACAACGGAAATGAAAATGCGTCTAGCTGTGGCTGATATTCAACCTTCAGTAGATGATGATAAACAAGAAATCGAAGCACATCGAATCTCAGGACAAATAAACGAAAAGGATATTAATGAAGATGATTTTCATCCAGTAAACGATTAATTATCTCCGATTTTACATTTCAAAGAACAAAAAAGATTACTATATTATTTCTTCTTCTTGGGTTTTTTGTTTCCGTTTTTTTTCTCTGTTTGAGATGAGATAAATAATATTTTTTTAAAGACTTCGTATCCTTTCAAGAAAAATTTAACATTAGATAACTTCGAAAAACTGAGAAAAATATATATCGTTTCATTCTAATCAAAATTGAAACAACCGATCGAAAAAAATTTTTTTTTCAGAGAATTCGAAGCTATTGAATTTTGTTGAGTGTCTTATTGTGTTCATTGTTTTTGATAGGAGAAAGTCTTTAAAATTACCGTTAACCGTTCGATTCTTTTTTTTTCTCATTTTTATTTGTATATTATACTTTTGTTCTTGTTCTTGATGAATAAAAGACAGGTATTTAGCTGAATTGGTTTTATTTTGTTTGGGAAGAAGAAAAAAAACATATACAAAATAATTTTATAAAAATATTTAAGCTCGATTTATGTGAGAGTTGGTGATGAAATCTGAGGTAATTTCGGTACACCTGATGGACTAATATTACTTCTTGAATCTGATCGACTTTGATTTTGTATTGTACTATCTGTTTGAGTTACAAATATATTATTCGTATTATCAATTGGACTATCATCATGAGTTGATTGTTCACTAAAAAAACAACAACAACAAAGGTTTTTACGATAGATAAATAAAAGGAAAATCTTACGTATCAATGGTTGTTTCAATTATATTTGTTTTTCTTGCATTCATTCGAATAAATAATTCTCGAAGTACTTGTTCTTTTTGTTCCCATGTTAAATCATTAACAGTTATTCCATTAGTATGATTGTCCCTATACGATAAAAGAAAATAATCTCCCAGGTATTAAAAAAAATTCAGATTTATCATGGAGTGATCTTTTTCTCTTCATACTTGTCATTGCATCATCCTCCTACGTCATAGTCCGGTGACATCTGCTCATCCATTTCATCATCTTTTTTTCTATCTATCCTAGATTCTTTCATCATCTTATTGTAAACTCTTTGTATCCATAGATTTCGTAATAAAAGACATGACTCAATGAAGTTTTAGGCAACAGCGGTTAATAATTTTTCTCTATTCGGTAAAATCATAACATGAAAATTTGCTCACAGTGTTTTATCTAGGTTCTGTTTTTCGGATGGGCGGCGCTCACCCGGACCATCTCAAAATATACAACTACTGTATTTTTTTGGGTGGGCAGACCGAATTTCAGGGTCAGCGTCGCCCACCCACTGAATAAAACACTGTTTGCTCATGTCACTTATCAATTATAAACTTTACCATTTATTTTCTTCATGTAAATCTTGAAATGAACCATTTCTATTGAATTCACTTAATGTTCTCATTCTTGTTAAATCTTCTGGTGCATGATATACATTTAACATTCGATTTTCATTTGTATTATAATTATCTTTATTATGTTCTAAACGATTCTGAATAACTTGTTTTTTAACATGTTGTAATGCATCCAAAAACATAGCTTCTAAATCTGAACGTTGTTCAAGAATTGTTTTACCTAATTTTTTAACTTTATTCATTTCTTTTCCTTTTAATTCTAAAGCACGTTCTAATTTAACAATTTCATTACGTGATGATTGTTGTTCGATATCAGATCGTTCAATAAGTTTTATTCTTTGAACATTAAATTCATCAATATATTGTGTTAATGATGTTTCTAAATGTTGAATTTTTTCTTTTAACTAAATTTAATAAAATCATTTGTATATTAAAATCTATTTGCTTCCTATTACTTCTTTTATTGATTTATTTTGTTTTTGTACTTGTTCAATTTTTTCTTTCATTAATGAATCATTTGTTTCTTTATCATCTATAACTTCAGCAGCTTGTTTTGCTAATTGTTCTTTTAGATATTGTACATCAACTAATTCTTGTTTATAAATATGTAATGATTTAATAAGATCAACATTTTCTTTATAAATACTTCGACCTTTTTCATCTAAAGTTCTGAATAGAAAAAATATAGAAAAAAAAATTCAAGATTTATTTTCGTACTTTATTGCTTCATTTTGTGCATGTTCAGCTATAGCTTCAATTTTTTTATTTGATTCCTGGTGTAAACGTTTTTTCTCATCGGCAAATTGTCGTTCAAATCTTTCCAATGATTCTTTTTGATCACCTTCATTCATCATCATAACTTGTTTAATCTATAAAAAATTGAGATTATAAAACAAAAGAGAAGAAAATATAAACTCTTACTTCATCAAGTTCTTTTTGCATTTGAGCTTTTCGTTTTCGAAAATCTTTTATTTGATTAAGTTCATGTCGAACAATATCTAATTCACTTTCTTTTCTAGCTAATTTTTCATCTAGAAAACGTCTTTGTTGTTTGAAATCAACCATCTTGAAAGAAACAACAAGTATAATTATAGAATTTAGTAAATAAAGATAGATATACATACTAATTCATCTTTTTCTTTAGCTTGTTCTACATGAAGATCTTTGTATTCTTGTTGTAGACGTTCAATCTATTCGATTATAAATAGAATAAGTTGATTATTTAGATAATAATTTACCTCAGCATCTTTTTCAAGATCTTGTTTTTTCAGAAAGGATATTACATCTAAAGTATCCTTTTCTGTTTGACGCATTTGCTCACTTAATACTTCATGTTCACTATTCAAGTTATCATATCTTTCTCTATTTTAATAAAATACAAGAAGAATTTGTATACATTGAAAAATCTTATTTTGCTAACCGAATTTGTTTTCGTGAGTTATCCACCATATTAAGTCGAGTTTGCCATATTAGTGTATTTTTAGCAGCCATTTTGACAGGCGAATCATTTTTTTTGCCTTTTTTTCTTGATAATAGAAAGTTTAGATTAGTTTTTAAGAATTTATAATCTTAGCTCACCCTTTTCCTTTCTTCCCTTTACCACCTTTCTTTCCTTTGCCTTTTTTTGGCATTATTGAATCTAAAATAATTCAATGATCGTATAGAAATATTTTGTCTATAAAATTATATTAAGATTTTTTTTCAAATTTCAATCGCCATTTGCAATCACTTTATTTAAAAAATATGAGCAACAACCTCTTTGCGTTATGAATAATAAATAACAGATGTCACACAATGATGATCATTAAACAAGGAAAAAATAATATAATCTTCAAGCGATACTTTCTTTCTTATTAAATGTTGAACTACTAGGAAATAAAATCGATTTCATATCCAGCACTTTAAATTATACAAAGACACGCAAATTAGTTAAAAACAAAGAAAAAAAAATATTTCAGTGTTTTTCTGTATTCACTAAATGGCAGCTGTCACCAGGCTCGTTTGCATGTTAGATGAAAATTGTTTTATATATATAATCGGCTTTGCTCCCTCTCTCTCTCTCCCCTTTTCCTTCGTTTTCATTTTGACTGCTTTTGTAAGAACAACAACATCTATAAAGCAAATGAAAGGATCGGTAGTGTAAACAACAGCAATAGCCGTTTTTTATTGCTCTCTCTCTCCCTCGCTCTCTCTCTCTCTCTTTCTCTTTTACTCATTTATTTGAAAACAGTTACAAGACTAGAAGTTCTCATCGAAGTACTTGTTTTTGACTATATGTATTTATTGAATGAAGCATAAACTTACGAAACGATCCTTATCTAATAAACATCTTCAGCCACGTTCATTGCCAACGCAAGCAAGACGTTTATCAACACCACATGATTATAATAGAACTTTAACACCCAGTAAAACTAATTCAGGCGCCAATATTACTGATTCAGATTCTCATGTATTATGTTTAAAACCAAATGTACCACTAAAAACTCAAAAATTACTAAAACGTGATTTATTACGTTGTAGTAACCAACGTCCATCACTTCTTGGTGTACAAACATTACAACCACCTCGTATTCATCATGGATCACAACCCGTTCATTCTTTAAACCCATCATCAGTTAATCATCAGGCTGCTAAACGTCATGGTTCATTACCAGATAATCCTCAAACACTTCATGCTACAATTGATCGTGTTGGCCCATGGCCAGATATATCTATAAACTGTCTTCGTTCAGAAGGAAATAGTATTATACAACCGTTAAAAAACTTTCGTAGTACAAAAAATTCCCGTTTTTTTTCACCAAAATATTATGCTGCGTTAGCTGAGAATAATACAAAATTCAAGTTTCAGCCGAAACAATCTTATATTGAAGAATATCGTAGACAAAAAGGTTATTTAATAAGTTCACAACCAACTCCACAATCAACATCTTTATCATCCTCATCATACGGACGATTACAACGATCCGATGATGATCAAATATCAGCGTATGGTACAAGCAGTAATGGTACTGGAAGTTATACAGCTAGAGATCGAACTGATATGTCAACAGGTAATTTATCAGTATCACATCGAAGTATGGTGAAATCAGCAGATGATATAAGTGATAATAATCGATTATCGAGTAATTCATTTGTAAAAACTCAAATAAATAATTTACCACCAATATCAATTCGATATCATAATAATAATAACCATCATCATCATCATCATCATCAACAGCAGCAGCAGCAACAGCAGCAGCATAATTTTACTCAATATCGACTAGCTCGTCCTGTACCGCAACATGCACTTACATTACCAACAATAGTATCTTCAACATTTCAATATGTAAATGATATGAATACAATTGAAAAACCCTATAGAGGTCATAAAAAACTATCTATACAAAATCCATCGCAATTATATATTATTGATGGTCGACAACAGAAAAGGTATTAGATCTATTTTTTTCTTCTTTCAGTTAGAAAGAAAATATTTTTTCTATATTTAAAATACAATTTCACATCGTGTAATTAGTGACACCGAGGTATGAACAAAAAAAAAAGAAAAGAGTCTGTTTCTAACACTAATCATACTAATTGAATGAATAATCATTTTGTGAAAATTTTTAATTTATTTTATATACTTTTTTTTTCTTTAACACGTAGGTTACGTCCCATTCACAAGATTACATTGGACTTCGAACTACCAGCAGCTCGGTGGTACCAGAAACAGAACGCTCAGCAGCTGTAGTTATTTATCAATTATCTCGTCGAACATAAATTATTACTATGTAAAAAAAAGAATAATGAATTAGTTCAACATCAACAAATGAATCATTTGTTTATGATTGATCACTTAAATAATGATAAAATTATATATATGTATATCGATAGATAACAAAAAAACTATATTATTTAATACAGATTGTAATTACTTGAAATGTTACTTTGGTATTTGTTTAATGTGCTTAATAAAATGTACTGAATTTTTACATGAGGGAATTTAAATTGAAATGAAATAACGTGCTCTTATATAGATCTGTCATTTGTAAAAGATATCCTAGCTATAGAATGTCATTCAAAGAAATTTAATTCAATGAAAGAAGAAGCCAAAAAGTTGACATTCTTTGTTGTTGACCTTAGTTTATAGAACATAGTAGTAAAAAACTTTCACTCTTATTTCAATTGTTGATTTTAACGAACTATTATTAAACTACTAGGATGAACGGTAGGAAGAAAAAAAAAGGTGAGACTTCGAAATATTAATATATATAAAAACTGTTACTTTTTCATTTGGTATTCTTTTCAATGTCTACTGATATAATAAAGAGTTGTCAATGATTAATGACATATTAGAAATCGATTTAACCCGGTATGGGTACGGGTCTAACAAAAAAATTTTTTAGATCTCGATCGACTCGCAGCTCTTTAATCTGTGATATAACAATTTCTGTATGAAAAACGTATTCAGAATTAATCAGATAATGAGATTGGTTTGTAAATATTTTAATTGTTTTGCGATTATAATCGATCAAATGAAATGTAGAATATCGGAAGAGGGCAGTTCATTAGTTTAATTTTTCTTCGTATGTTCAGTGTCTTCTATTGGTCACATAATCACAAAAAGAAAGGGAAGAATAATAAAACAAAATAATGATTCGTTCTTTCCATCCTACACGTGTTCGTTTGTGTTGAACCATCTGTCTTCGTTCAAAAGTATTTTCTTTGTTTTTCTTTATAATTTTGCTTAATCGAACGAGCAGCAAAAATTCATGGATCCATCGAAATCTAATCTACTCACGTCAGGATCCTTGA